CGCCGCCGCTCGGGCCGCAGCCTCGATGGTGCCTGGGCCTGGGCGGGGCCCGCCGGAGCCAGAGGCGCTTCCGCACCCATGGCGCCCCCTAGCGGGCGGGAGGACCCTGCGGGAACTGGGCCGAGCCCCGGGATTCACCGCTTTGATAAATCAGTAACTTTATAAATCATATAGTGGGGTCTGTTATTTCTATTTATTTATATTACAGTGCTATGTGTTAGAGCATTACATGTTCTATAAAATATGTATGATATGTAAAATATATGTGTGTGTATACATATATATGATACTGGGCTATATCATATTATATATAATTATTATTATATATATATGTGTATATATATATATATGATACTGGGTTGCATCATATTATATATAATTATTATAATATATATATGTATATATATATAAATATGATACTGGGTTGTATCATATTATATATAAATATTATTATATATATGCGTGTGTGTATATATAAATATGATACTGGATTTTATCATATTATATGTAATTATTATATATATGTGCATATATATATGATACTGGTTTGTATCATATTATATATAATTATTATTATATATGTGTATATATATATAAATATGATACTGGGCTGTATAATATTATATATAATTATTATTATATATGTGTGTATATATATATAAATATACTGGGTTGTACAATATATTATATATAATTATCTAGATATTACAATATAGATAATATAGATAATATATAATAGTATATTATTACTGTATTAATGTTTCTATATTTTATATTAATACGATGTGTTTACATTATGGATACTATAAGTAAATAGTTAAAAACCATCAGAATTCCAGTTAAAAAAAACCCCATCAGCTCCAGTGGGAGCTGCCAGGGCTTTTGGAATTGTCACCCCAAGATTGTCCAGCACCTTCTGTGGATGTTGGGGAACACAACACCCAGGGGGGAGCCCAGCATGGAGCAACAAAACAATCAGATTTAATTAATTAAATTAACTGATTTGCTTGGTTCTCCTCCAGGGAGGGGCAGCGCTCACATCCACATTTGGGATCCACATCTCCCCATCCTCCTCACACCTCTCAAGCACCCTAAAAACGGGTTAAAATCCCCTGATATTGCTTAAAACCAGCACAATTATGGGCAAAAGCTCCCAGATTTTACCTTCCCGGTGGATTTTTACACCCCTGGCCCACAGGGGGATAAAAGGAGAGAGCCGTAACGCCGTGAAAAGTTTAAAGACATTTATTTAAAATACAATTTATAAAACGTTTTCTTTCCAGCGCACGTGGTTTTTTTTGTTTTTTTTCGGGGGGGTAGGTTGGAAACACGCGGTTTCATCCTCCCCCTCCTCGGGATGAAGGCGCTTCCCACAGGAACACCGCCGAGCCCTGCCCGCGGGCGGGATGTGTCCTGGCACCGGGACGCGGCAGGAACGGCCGGGAGAAGGAGATTTTCCAGTGCTGGAAAAGGGGATTTCGGTGCCGGACGCGGAGGAGGCAGCCGTGTGGCCACACCAGAAATCCGGTGGATTTTGGGGAGGTTTTTGGCTATTCGATGCTAGTTGTAGGAATAATTAAGGAAAGGCGCAGTGACTACGGTTATTGCTGACGTCCTTCTCCCTCCCGGCTCCCTCCCGGAGCTCATCCCGGCCCCCGGGCTGAGCGGGTGGGTGAGATCCCCCAAAAGTCAGCGGGATCCCAGGGGGAATCCCTGGGGAATCGCAGCCCAGCCCAAAGCAGCTCAGGAAGGTTCAGGCGGATCTCTTGGATACACAGGTAGTTTCCGTTCTCCCGTTTCTGTGGGATTTCAGCCGCGTTTCCGCACGGGGCTTTCCGTGCACAGCAAGATTGGCTCCTTCCCCCTTGAAGAATCCGGCAGGAACCACCAGGAATTCCAGGTTCTGGCCCCTCCAGGAAGAGCATTTAGTGTTCATCCAATCCCTTGATATCGAGTGATCCTCGGCTCCGTCCCTGGGGAGCAGCAGCCTCCCCGTCCTCTTCCCGGGAGCCGGGGCAGGACCATCCCTTCCCTGCGGCCTCGCTACCTCCCGGGACACCGAGGGATCGTCCAGGCTTTCCCCAAGGCTGCTCTGGTTCCCGGTTCTGCCGTTCCAGGAGAGCTCGTGCTGTCCGTGCGCCGCCGGGGCCGGGCCCTCGGGATATCCCACTGCCCGGTGGCACGGCTGGAGCGGCGCCGGAGGCTCTCCTCCTCCTCCTCACATCTCCCAGTTCTTCACTGCCCAGCCCTCCATGGCAGGACAGCAGGCATTTTCACAGGGTCCCTCTGCATTCCCTCCTCCCCACGTACAAGAGAACCCAAAAAAGATGGATTTTAAGCTTTTCTTCAAAGCCAGCAGGGAATCGGAGCCAAGCTTTAACAGGAGCGAGATGTGAACTGGGTCCAATTCCGAGGGACCTGGGGGGATCCAGGAGTTCGCTTCCATGGCAGTGGAAATGGAGAAGGAGAGCATGAGCTTGTCCTCCCCAAGCCATCACATTCATGGAAATCCATTGGAATTCCCTCTGGAACACTCAGCTACCTCTCTGGATTCAAACGAACGGCTCAAACCCTTCCCATGCACTCTGCCGATCCAAGATACAGAAAACAAACAGAAAACCAAATGAAAGAACCTAAAAATCCTTGCAAACAGAACTCATTCTGGAAGTGATGAAGACAACATGCGTGGCTGGGGAGGCTTCCCATCTTATTTTTTTTTTTTTTTTTTTTTTTTTTTT